GATCTTTTGTTTCCTCTCTCTAGAAACTTTTTAGGATTTCTTCTTTAAGCTTGGTGTTTTCATAAATCACAGTAGTGTTCTTTAATGTGGGTTCCCCCCAATCCATCCTGCTGGGCATTTGGCATATTCTTGAATCTGGAAACTCATATTCCTCTTATGTTTGAAAGTCTGGAGTTTGTTTTTTATTTCTTTTCTAACTGTAAAGAGAGTTCACGTTGGGGAGGCAAGGGCTCAGAGAATTTGAGGAACGTTTCATGATGGAAGCCAAGAGTCTGAATTAAATATATGACTGGACAGGTGGAGAAGCGGGCATTCCAGATATGCAGAGCTGTGGGGACAGAGGCATATGGCTAAGAATCAACACAGTCCACGAGAGACAATGGGGACACTGTTACAGATCATGAAAGAGAGAGAAACAAAGAGGGGTGTAGTGAGCCTGGTGGTGGCTAACCCTATGCTTAAATAGGTGCCTTTTGAGCGTGTGGCTTCTGATGCGTAATGAAGCTTCCACACCAGCTGAGGGGCTCCCACACCTTTTACACTCGTAAGGTTTCTCACCAGTGTGAACTCCCTCGTGCTGAATCAGGGTTATTTTCTGATTGAATGCCTTCTTACAATCCTTACATGCAAAGTGCTTCTCTCCTGTGTGAATTCACTGATCCTGAGTCAAGGCTGTGCTTAATAGATTCCCAGACTCTTTACATTCACAGGGTTTCTTCCAAGTGTGCACTGCTGATGGACAATGAAGCCTGAGCTACAACTAGAAGTTTTCCAACTTTGTTACACTCACAGAGTTTCTCCCCAGTGTGGAACCTCTGGCGCTGAAGGAAGACTGAGCTGTTGCCGAAGGCCTTGCCACCCTCCCTACATTCAGAGGGAGATTCTCCAGTGTGGATTCTCTGAAGCTGAATCAAGACTGCATCTGAATTTAAACCTTTTCCGCATTCTTTACATTTAAATGGTTTCTTTCCAGTGTGCATTATCTGATGCCAAACAAATAACGTGCTGCATCTGAAATCATCCACATTCTTTGCATTCAAAACTTTTCATCACCGTGACTTCTCTGATGTCAGTGGAAGTCTGCCATTCGGCGGAAATACCTGTCACATTTTCCACATTCGTAAGCTATCTGACTGATAGGAGTTGTCTGATTTGTAGAGTTGTGTGCTGACGCTAACATTTTTTCCTAATTTCTCACACTTTCCCCCTCTCTCATCAGCACAGGCCTCCTGAAGCCTGGTGGACCCATCTGTGAAATCTCCCCTCTTTGACTCTGTCTTGACCATCCAGTGACGTTAAGGTTGCTCTAGGCTGCTCTCAAAATCTAGGTGCTGGGGAATATTCCCTGGCAGGCCTCGCAGTGTCAGTCTGAGGCACTCTGTTTCTTTGGACCTACGCTCCTTTGGAATGAGTCCTTCCTTCTCATTTATGGTTTCACTCCCTGGACAGACACCTCTGGTTTGTCCAGAGATTCTCAGAGATAGGGGTTCCATGGGAATTCCCCTTTCTCTGGCTAGGAGACCAGAACAGGTTAGCTGGATGGAAAAGTCAGGGATGCCACCCTGCATAGTGCTCCAGCATCCCCTCTCTGTACAGGGCCCGCTGCACAGGGTCCCGGCTGGCCCGTTCAATCTGGCGAGGTACGCAAGTGCTTCCTCAAAGGTTGCTGGCTCCTAGGCAGAGTGGTCTAGAGCATGGCTGGCATCCCCACCTCACACTCTCCTTTGGAACTGGGAGAAGTGAGACCAGACCCCCAGCCCATTTCATGGCATCCACTGACCCCATGTGGCACAGACACAAGGAAAGCCCACTGAGGCCCTAATAATGCTTATGCTTTGGCTCCCGTTTAACCCAGGTCTTTGTCTTTATCCATTGGCCAGAGTGCTGGAGGTGGGGAGGAGTGAGTGACGTTTCTCAGAGTCATGATGTTTGTAGCAGTCCTTCTCATCCAAATTAGACTGTTGTTTTGAGGAATATGTTGGCATTTTTGGTGAAGTCTTTTCTTCAGTTTAGAGACCCGTAGCAAATACCTATCCCTTGCTTCTAGGAGCAAACTCATACCCATCATTGATACACAAAGTTGCAACATCTTCTTTTTTTCCCCTTTACTTTCTTAATAGCTTTTGACCAAATGATATCCTGGAAGAATACTGAACTGAAAGAATCAGGAGATCTGAGATTTCACCCAGAACCTGCCAATAATGAGGAAATCCTGGTCTCATTTGTGTAAATTAGAATGATTTGTCTTTTCGGATTCCTTTCTGCCCTGGTTCTATGAGTACTGTTCTCCAGTCACGTGTCCACCGATGCCCTGAGCACTGCTAAGGAAGGCACATGATGTTCTCAAAAGCTCTTTTTTCTCCCATCCCTCCTGCACTTGTTTAATATGGGCAGCGTCCCTGTTGGGAACTAGGTTAGGGATGCCAGCGGCCCTCCCCCTCCCTAGGGTTCTTGCAAATAGAATAAAAATCAAAATGCAACCCGAACGGGGGTCAAAGCTCTCTAGTGATAGCTACACAAAGAATTTATCTCATTCTTATTTGGACCAGGGTTGGTTTCTGATTGACCCAGAATCCAAGTCTAACTATTTCCTTGCCAAATTAGTCTCTTCTAAAAGAGAATCCCCACATTTCTATTTAGCAGTCTTTCTTCGCGGAATACCACTTCATCATTCAGGAGTCTTAACATTCTTGATAACGATGTGTAGTTATAGTACACAAAGGTATTGGCTAATTTTCTCTAGTAATTTCAAATCAGAGATTTCCTCTTGGTCATTTGGTATCTTCTTCAGGAAGAAAAACAAAAACAAAAACTGTGTCTCTACTTTGCCC